CACAGATTACAATTATGCACATGTAACAACGGGAACTTCGTGTGTGGAATAACACTCAACAATATTGAATGTTAAGTGTTGCGCGATTTTCCCAACACAATTCAGTTATTCATAATAATATTACATATATTACTGTTATCTTTCCGTTCTCACGATTCTGTACAAAATAATCGAGACATTGCTCAGAAAATTAATTTTAAAAATAAAGCTAAGATTTTAATGACCTAAAAATCCTAAAAAATTATCAAAAAAAAAATGAGTCAATAAGAAAAAATGACCTTATAAAATGCTCGAAAAAAAATTATTGTATCAATTAATTAATAAGTAATAATTTATATTTTTAAGTATACAAATAAATTCATATTCAGGTATAATGACCAGGGTCATTTGTTCTGAAGTTAATATATGTTGAAATAAAATAATATTGTAAAACCAAAATATAAGTTTAAACCAAACTTAGATTTAATAATAAATTGATGAAGACAACACGTAATCAAACATTATTATCGGTTCTTCCTCGGTTAGTCCAACGAGTATATTTTATATCATACAAACAATTGGTATTTTGAAATATTAAATATTTTTACAAAATATGTTTACGATTTTATTTTCATATTATATCTTCATAATATGTTTGTACAATAATTTATAACGACCGTTTAAAAATTTTTTGAAAATATTACCCATATTTCAATAAAGTATAAAAATTACCTCAAATTAAAAAGTATAAAAATGCAAAATAAGAACTATATATTTGAACTCGTAGTTGACCAAATCACATTTTGTGCTTGAAAAACTATATCCTGTAAATCCTAAAAAAAATGCAAAATTCTATACTATCCTAGCCTTAATATTAATTAATAAATAATAATAGAATTGTCATTGACGCGTTTTGAGGGTTCGAGGAACTTAGCCCCCTCCCCCTAAAAAAATATTTAATCACCCTACGACTATTAGTATTTTAGTTATAAATTAAAGTATAATACTGGAAATCGGAATTCAGTATTTGTCACAATTTGGTCATCGATATTGTAAATGCAACAATAGCGTTGTTAATATCAACAGTCACAATTAGTTTATACTAATATATACTTAATTGCTAATTATTCATTTTATTATTTTAACAAATTTGTTTTAATTTTTAATATACAATAGAATTTGGAAACAACAATTATCATTATTTGTTATACCTAGGTAGTAGATAAGTATCTATGTAATAGTAATAATATTTTATATTATACAAATAAAACTACTATTATAAATTTTTGTTTTAAATTAGTTGTTTATACAAACAACAATAAAATTGAAATAAACTATCATATTTTATTAACCGATTATATATTATTTTAACTACTCAATTGGATTTTTTTTTTTTTTAATGCAACAAAATTTAAAAATAAATAATCATGATATTACATTTTTATTTTACTGCCTATATAACTGGCAGTGTCAAGGCAATATTTATGTGGGGAACGAGTTAAATTTGGGTAAAATAAAGAACAGCTTTTGTAGTTTTGTATAACAAAAAAAAATGAAAAAAATAACGTGTATTGTGTGGAATCGTGTCTTGTCCACAAAATCGAACTAAATACATTTTTTCAGTCGTACATTGAAGTGATAAGAGTTATCAAATAATTCGATTGTTTTAATAAGAGAATTGAATGAATTTCATAATCAAAATAATAGTTTTTTAATATTTTATCGAAATATAATTGTTAATTAATCAAATCACTCAAATAAATCGTTCGATACACTTTTATTATTTTATCATAAAATATTACCACAAGTCCACATTACTTCATTTATATGCACTATACGCAGTATACAGGCACTTATGCAGTAAGTGTATTATAAGCACACATGTCTACAACTACAAATTTCTCAAGGTTATACATTTTTACATATTTATTAATCATGTTCCTTTTAGGTTTTCTATTATTGTAAAATATTATATATAATACGTACTATAATAGACAATAGCTTACTCCAACAGCCAACATGATTCCTATTTTTATAATTTATCATCACTGTCTATCAGAATTCGGGAATATTTAGTTAGTCGAATTTCATAGAAATTGTTATTGTCGACCTAATCTAATCTAGCAATAAATAATTGTTCACGTTGCCTTATTCACTTATTATTATTTGTTTGATATATTTATTATCTTTTTTTTTTATTTGTGAACATGACTCATGAGTAGAAAATAGGTGGCGAACAACACAAAAAAAAAAAAAATTGCCAAATTAAAAAATGATAATCTGCAAAATGTTTTAGATCAAACACACAAATTGACTAATTTTTTTTAAAGTAAAGCTTCTTCTACTTTTTGTAGTAGTAACAGCATACTACTAATAATACTATGGATATTATTACGGAGAAAATGGTTGTTCAGGTTAATGACAGTGAAACAACAATTAGTTTATCTGTAGAGTTCGGAAATTAATTGTTAGTTAAATGAGCTAATTTACATGATAGTAAATGTAACTGTCTTGAAGACAGCTCCAGAAAAATAGCCAATGGGTGATGAATGACGAATTTCGTGACTGTATTTCTAAAAACAGTTTTAATCAAAATACCACTAATGACTTTCTAAACTCTAAACGTATGCCTCCTATACGGTGAAAAAATAAAATATTTGACCAAAAGTATGTTTAATAGGCGTTTGATGAATGAAGAAATAATTGTTCGTTTTTACAGGTTGATTTATTCCCTAAGTTTAAGAGTAATTATTTTTTGGACCTCAAACATTATTTTTACGATGGTTAATGAAAGAAAAATCAGTTGGAAAATATTGAACGGTTGAATTTAAAATAAAACATCTTGTTAGTTGTTTGTTAATTTAACCATTGATTGTAGAATAGACCATTCAATAATCAATGATTCAACGCATCAATCCACACGAAGGTTTCATAAAAATATAAATAACTCCTCGGCACCAAGAAATAGGTATGTTCAATTTTAAATGTAGTTAAATAATTATAAATTATAATTAATTATAGTTATATTTTTTTAGTAAATTATTTGTTTAAAATACGATAGTGAGACGGTGACCTCGCACATATTGACAGTGGTTTGAAACGTGTCCATGATACATGATACATTTATATTTTATTAATATTAATCATGTACCTATAATATGCAATATATATATATATACCTTCTATTTTTAAATCTTTTAAATCATCAGGTACTTTTGAAAAACTTGAGTTTTTTAATTATAAATGGTTTTTTTTTTTTTGAGGAAAGTTCTTTAAAAATACTTTTTAAAAAACCCTTGATAAAGCTTCTGAAAATAACTGTACAACCGTAGATTTTGATAATTTAGCTTTGTGTTTTTAATGAATTTTTTAATTTTTGTGATATGAATTTTATTTTGACATGGAAGGCGATGATGATCAATTGGTATTTTTTATCATTTGTTCAATGAAGTTATTAAAATACGAGTATATATTATCAATTTATAATTTTTTTTTTTTGCAATATTTCCATTGTAGAGATTTGTACACATTTTGTATACAACATGTGTGTACCCTTCAAATTATAGCTTTTCTTTTCCTTTTTGACTTTTACAAGTATTTATTCTATTCAAATAGAAATGACATTAAAACGAAATGTTTCTACAAAACCACATCACTATGATACTGCAGTACCTACACAGCACGTAACAGAACAAGACAATAAATCTCACAATATTATTATAACATTATTATAATATAAAGCTATAGCCTATAGGTACCTTTCTTATCCATTATCCGTTGTCTGTAGTTATTATAGTAGTTTTCTCTGTCTCATAAACTTATACCTATACGTTTTGTATAATATAAATTATATTATCTTGGTATTAAATAATTTTTTTTTTTTAATAAAATTATAAGCATTTAAAAATAAACCAACATTTTAAATTTTTACTGCAGCAAATGTAGTGTTTTTTTTTTTTTAAATAATTAATATATTATACGTCACTATTAAAATATCAATTCATAAAATAACTGATCTCTTTTTAATTTCTAAAAATATGTTCAAGCTTATCTTTACCACATAAAACATTTATTGATTTTTAAGACAACCCGTAGTGAATTTAAAAATATTATATACTTAAAAACTCTGTTATTGCATATCTGTATGTCTATCTTGAAAAATAGAATATGGTTCTATTATATGATCTACGTACTTGTTAAATGGTATAAATATAAGATAGAATCTATACAACATCATTTTTTAACTCTAATTTCTTAAAAAAGAAATAATAATGAAATTGAACATGATACATTTCTTAGTTATTTAAAAATGCACCCTATTTAATGTAGAAGAAAAAGTATTGATGTAAAATGGATTTATAATCTACTTAATATTAAAATTGATTGTCTAGAAATTTAAAATTTTATGCTTATAAACATTCCCCGAGTGTCTCCGTTCTTATCCTATATTTTATGTATATATACCTACACACACAGAACTATAGTGGAAAGTCGCCAGTTAATTATATACCTGCTGAAGTTATGTTACAAAATTCACATTTGACATAATTATCATTTTATAGAATTTACAAAATCACGTGAAATGCAATAATTAAATATCCATAATCCACATACATATCTATGAACTAAGTATTTAAGGGCCTAAAGCATAATTATAAAACTGATAAGTTAGGTGTTCGTATTAATTGAGTAGTAAGGTAACAAAATCCAATATATATTTTAATATTGTGAATTGTGATTTGTGACTTATATGAAGAGTGCTTGTGTAGTTGTGTGCATCATTAACAAAATTTGTAGGTAGATAGTAATGTATGCTTTATTTAAATATTAGTAAAAGGTAAATAATAATATAACGTGCAGTCGTGCAAATGTTTCAATTATTGTGTTTTGAGCTGTTGTTAACTGTAAAACTCAAAAATCGTCATAGTAAGTGTTCATGCTTATTAAAAATATATTTATATAATAATTTTATTTTATATTTTGGAAAAATTTGATCAAGTACAGAATAAATAAATCATACAATAAAGGAACAATATTTTACTAAGTAAAAATAAACTTAAATAATATAATTTAAATTACCAATTTGAGGTTGATATGTGATTTCAATAAGTTATATAAGTTTAATCGGAAATTAATATTTATAACTTAATCCTCATTTATGGGTAATGTATACTTATTAGATTTATCTATGTCCCCAATTAGAGGATCAGCAATTACAAATACTCCATCCGATTCAGAAGTACTTGCAGACATTGGGTATCCATCATATTCAATTGTTGAACCTCTAGCGTGGTTGACCCTGCAAAAAATTTTGTATCATAACAATTTTAAAACATAAGTCCAATGAAGTATAGAATTACAATATGTGATTAGTTATGATTTACGAGTATTACAAATAAAAATAATAAAAATTAATTTTATGATTGGGAGTTTAATTTAAGTTACCAAGAATTTTTTACTTCCAAAAACACAAAAATAAGAAAAATAAATTTATTTTTTTATGATCTGACAGACAAAAGCCAGATATAAACAATAAGTACAAATTGTATATATAGTATTTTTGATGAAAATAGAAATTACAAAATTACAAAAATAGAATAGTGTGAAGTATAAAATAATTAAATTTAATTATTAAAAATGTGTGCAATTGAGATAATTGATAGTAGACAATAAATATGCAATGCTTAACCGAGATAATGAAAGCTCTAAAGGAATATGAAAAGTATAATATTAAGAAGTATAAAAACAACACGTAGACTAATGAAGATTAAAATTATGTCATTGAGATATAACTTATAACCATAATTTACGTTACAAACACCTATCCCGAGTACCACATATGTTACTATTGTAAGCATTCATGGTATATTAAGGGTTGAATTTCCTATATAATATCTATTTTTAAAATAAATTATAGTTAGTAATTAGTAATAACTTATGTTTAAAAGGTATCTATGTTATTTCGTATAAATGTTATAATTACCTTCACTTTTTTAATAAGAAAAATAAACAATAGTACAACAATTTTTTGTATAGTAACTTAAGTGAAAATAAATAACATTTTATTAGAATACAATTAGAAATTGATATGAAAATATATAAATACATATGTACCTAATTAGTTAAAACAATTGTAAATAAATAAATCATAAAATTATAAATATTTCAACTTATTTTAATTCTTTAGAAAATAGTATACTTTTTATAATATTTTAATCATTGATTTTAAAATTAAATATTGTCATTTACCTATTATTAAATCAATGGCTTAATATTTCACATTTTTTTTATATATTTGGTGAGTTGGTCGATAGTGCGTATTAAGTATTAAACTTCTAAATAATTAGACAATTTGTTTGAAGTAGATAAACTATATTTAATTTAGGTTACTAAAACAAATAAATTTTAATTTCTATAAGTTTTTTAAGTTAACACTTATTTTTATGGTTAATGAGAGCTGTTTAATGTTATCTGATGCTATTGTTTATGATTTTATCAATTTTATTTCCAGTTTACGTCCATAATCAATAATTAATCAAGTAAAACAATTCAGCGAGTAGAAGATATACGACTATAACACTGATGTGACGATATCATTTTTTAAACATTTCGCAACTTTTACACGGAAATTCATACGTAGCACAAGATATCTGAATTCTAAACACGAATATTATTTATTAGATATTATACATTGTTATAATATGCCATACACAGTTCGATCGTTAATATGGATTATGAAATGTAAGAACGTGTGGGATGATGTAAAATTACAAGTTTTTAACAATATGTTCATCTCCGTCAACAGGGCACAAACAACGTTCCAACAATACGTCGGAATGCATATTATCTCAGTATTTCTCAGCGTAGGCATAAAAAATGTATAACGTCATACACGAGTAAAAATCCGTAGACGGACGAAACATGATCGGCGAACAGTGGTTGCAAGTAACCTGCTATTTAAGTGCGTATAGTAGGGGGGGATACATTGTGCTCGAAAACTTACTAATGCAAATCGTGATGATAATAATAATATAGAGATAGAAATACGTATGTATCACGCATATTGTCCAATTATTATGGGCCCCCTCGGGACATATCCGGACGCGCTACTGGCTATATTGGTGTACCATCGTCCGCGTTAATATTATAATGTAATATACCTACGAGTGAAAAAACAGACGTGTCGATGCTGCAGTTACACGGACGAGCGGCAGAGCCGTGTGGACTGTAGTAAAGGGTAGAGGGTGACGTTTATTCGTTAACCGTTTTTAATCGTTATCCTTAAATATTGATGTCAATCGTTCACCAACGTTTAATGACGATAATAATAATATTATATATTAATATAATATGTTAATACACGGGCACTTATAATAATGACATGTAAGTAGGTGTCATACTATTCTATAGTTGTTATTGTTGCAGTCATTGCAGACTGCAGTGTAAAAGTATATATTAACGTCAATATATGTTATTATTAATTAGCCCACCGTGACGAACACCGTATTAGCTACGTTCCATAATGCATACCAGTTTTTCACCACCGTAATCACTTGTTTGATTTTCACGTACAGTTTCTTCAAGTCGTTGGAAATCTTCCTGATGATTTCTTCCACGTTGCCGTCGTCTTGTTGCTGCCTGCCCATCATTTCGTCGCCGTCGTTGTTCCTGTTCATGTTCCTCCACGTCGAGGCGAACCAGTCGGACGACGCGGGATCCGTTTCGCTCACGTCCGTCGTGTCCGCGGCTGGGGGTTCCGTAGAGTCGTCGGCTGGAACGTCGGTCGTCCCTGCGTCCGTGGTCGTGATCAGCCTCGTATACTCTTCGATCTCCTTCAGTAGTTCCTGGGTTTTTTCGGTGTCCGACGGATCGTACGACTTGGTCTTCGTCAACAGGTTGTACAGCTTCCAGTCCTCCCCGGCCGGTCCCACTTCGTTGACGTCTAGGCTCTCATGGTCTGCCTTCTCGTCGGTGAACGAAGGCACAGCAGGTGCGGCCCGACAATCGTGGGCCACTAGCACGGCCGATGCAACGAAAATCGTCAAACACTGCAAACACCGTCGTATATATAGTATTGTTATTATTGTGATCGAGTACATAATATAGTAAATATTATACGTTTTACGACTTTTACGTGCACGCAGTGGTGCAAAATGCAAATAGTAGGAGAGGGATATTTTTAAAAGGTGAATATGTTTAGACACCTCAAAGAAATATTCGACTTATAACAAAGATTTATTTTTTATACTGAAAATTTATAAAAATATTTTTTTCGTAGAATTATAATACAAACGTATGCACTAATTTATGCAAGTGCGTATACCGATATGAGTAAAGACTAAAAAGTAATAATTTATATTTCATGTTTATATATACCACTGAGGATAAAAAACAATTATTTTACAACATAATTTATTATTTGACATATTCCGGTGTTTAATAAAGGTATAAATAAAAATATGTATATTTATGTTATATCTTACACGCATCAAATATATTATGATGATTATTAAAATAAATCGAATAGTTATGAATGTCAACATGTTATAGAACATAAATTAATAACTAGGTAGCTTAAGCTCCCCCCTTCCTCCAAAATTGTTCATGTTTGGTTAACTGTCAGCAAGATTAACTAAAAGATACAACTTATTTTCAAGTACGACATCGTGAGACTTAATAAACTCAAGATCACATGATATTTATATTCTTAGCTATAATATATGAAATCGGAAATTTTGGAATTTGTTAAATAATATATGTATAAAACTAAAGTAAATATAATTTATTAATTATTAGAACTCCAACAAATCAATTTGTTTAGAATAAAAGTTACACATGGAACTACATTATACAATATTATGAACTATGGTGCATTGAAAAAATATTTTTGCCAAAAATAATTATTGTTTAAAACTTAAAAAAAAATATTCTCCATACTCTAAAAAATCTGATACAAGAAGACCAATATTAATTTAATATTACCTACCTAATTGATAATATTGAAACACTGTGGTGTACCTATTTTCGATATAAGTGGTGGTGTGAGAAGTGGTGCGACAAGAAAACACAACTATTCGGCAATCAGGAAACGAAATGTTTACACGGTTTCGTATAAGTGTAATATAGAAAAGTGATCAAACACGTTTTTCGTTATATTCAATGAGCCTACAGGCTACAATAATAATATAATATATAATACAATATAATACCTATCTATATCCACTAAAAATAAAAACATTAAATAATAATTATAATTTATAACTAATGTAGTATCAATAATAAGCTAATTTAAGATTTAAATGTTTTCAAATAAATCTTCATTTATACCCCACCACAAAATTAACTTGTGAAATATTTACGGTAGTGTGTTTTTAAAGTTTTGTGCGTCCTCGAAAGTTAAATAAATATGTAAATGATATATAATTCTAATTTTTGTATACCTATAATTACATCATGACTGTAATATTTATTACTCACGGTTCGTAGAATATTGTCTGTGATCTGTGTATATAATGTACAAATGACAATGGACATTAACGTGCATTTTAATAACATGAACATTAAATATTTGATATTTATCAATTCATACGTTACGTTTAGAAATTTTAATTATTTTTTATTTTTATTATTTCTAATTGCAATAATATATTATACATACTATATTGGAAGATAGGTACTTGCTACAGTTTAACTTTGTAAGATACATCGATACCTATCAGCCTATAGAAGTAAAGCAAAATATAACATAAATAATTGATAAAATTGTTCGATGAATTAAATTTTATCTTAAATATGTATAGGTATGACCTCTGCAACTACTAGTAGCTGGTCAACATATATAAATGTAAAATAAATTGTCAAACCTCGAAATATTTGCAAATATGGAAAATGACCAGTTTTATTATAATTAATAGTTTTTTAACGACAAAGTCCAATTTATCTTCTTACGCGCTTTTTTAGCGAAGGACATCAACTTCAACTATAGATATAAGTGACTAATAGTAACATTTATCTACTTAAACGTCTTAAACTGAAATAATATAATATAATTTATTTATAAACATGTATTATTAGCTTTTAATTCTATTAATGTAAATTGAAAATTATTATATTTATTTATTAAATACACAATGATATATTTTTTAATTTAAATTTCATAAAAATATACAAATAAAGATCATAATAAATCACTAACTATAAATTTATCCCAGTAATTGTATTAGAGTGTGTCAGCAATTTTATTAATTCAATAATCAAACAAAAAAATAATTCAACACATTCATAAACTTATTAGTGTTATCATAGTACTGCTGTACAGTGATATTAATATAATGGTCAAATTTAATAAAATTTGTTTTAATAAAATTGAACTTTTGGATTTATAAATATTGTATATTTTTATGGTACATTATTTTTTCATACCAAATTTGAATTAGATTAGCATATTTAAATCTAACTAAACTACATTAGATTCAAAGCTTATGTGGTTATCCTGCAATGCCCTATACTTCATAAGCAGGTGCTCTTCAACAAAAAGTAAAAATGTGTACACTTTATAAACCAGAAATGAGAAAATTAATATTATAACTAATTATTAAATTATTTAATATGATTAATTTAAAATTTAAATAACAAAATTCAATAAATTTTGAAATGTAAACATTTTTTTTTTTTTTATTACAATTAAAATATTTGTTTTTAAATTTAGATATTGACTAAAATAATAATATGCCATTTAAAAAGACAAACTGTTGTTTTCTTTATTCAATTCAAATTGAAAGGAATGTACTTTTATTTAAAAAAATATAAGAAATAATAAAATAGAAATATGCAATCGTTTAACATTCCTATTTTAACGGTTTTTAAAAAATGAAGCAAATGGATAGTTTTCATGTTCATATGAAAGAAAATTTATTGTTATGTATTAAATATTTAAATATAAACAATTAACATGTATAATATTCTTATTTATTACCAATTTGATGTTAGTGAATACCCGAAATAGTAAAATAATTTAAAAAAATTTAATATAAATACAACATAATATTATAAGTATATTACTTAATTATTTTATCTACGTTTTAAACTAAATTATCTGAATTGAATGACAATGAAATAGTTAACAATTATTAATTATTATTATTATTATCTTATTGTAACCATAGACTTACTATAAAAATATTCATTTTTCTGTTTCAATATGTGCTTTGATGTCTGAATTTTTGAACGAACTGAACTGCAAGACGAACGTCTCACTTTGGTATAGGTACCCAAACCCTATAAAAGGAGGACCTTGAACGGTTATCTATATTGGCGTAATGTTTTCGCACACTAATATAAACGGATGCTCTCGATTAAATCACAACAAATTTTCTGAAAGAAAAAAATTATATAATATCGATTTGTCGCACATTACACGGTTTGGCTTTTCGGTGTCCAATGCAATGAATGGTGGCTGTGTGATGACAGACATTTTTCGTTACAATGAAACCTTGAAACGCAGGTAAACATTTTCCAGGCAAACTGTAAGTATACTTGATTATCTTTCTCTCTCTTCGTATGACTCTTTAATATAATAATATCCGATCCGGGTTTCAATGCCGTCTTGTTTTTTTTCAATATTTTACGATAACTTTACATAATGTTTACGACTTTATGAGTATTGAGTTAGTATGTTATTATTATACTTATTTATTTATCATTATTATATTTTTCCAACAATGACATGAAATGGAAGCAAGTTATTAACAGCATTGAGCAATGTAAGTTTACATAAGTAATTCATTTACATGATAAAATTAATTAATGCAAATTAGTCAAACTAAAATGTTGATTGACTATATAAAATATAAATATAAATATATTAAATGGTCTATTGCAAATTACAATATTTATTTATAACTTTATAAGTGTCATTTCACTCGACTTTAAAGCTTAAAAATATCCAGTTTTTTTTTTATATCTACATATATATTTATAAATTATCATATTTTATAATAGGTACTGATAAAATGTTCAGTCTAATATAAAATTTAAAGTAACTATGAGAAATTTTAAATAATATTTCGATAGTTGACCAAATTATGTTTTGTGGATATTATAGTTCTAGGGATTAGTTCTAACATTAAAACTCTTTTCTACCTTTTTTCGGTTCATTTTTCATGAGATGTATTACTTTATTTATAGGTAATAATTAAATTTAATGAATATTTTTAAAACCATGTCTTCCTGACAAAAATTAATATTCTAGTCAATAATAGTCATTCTTGTTAAGCAATGACCTCATGCATTAAACCGATCACCAATTTATTATATAACACTATAATCTTAATTCTTATACTTATATTGGTCATCTGTTGTTCACCCAGTACTAATTTTGTTCTTGATTATCATGAAAAGTTTTCAATATCAAGGCTGTTTATGAACAGGAACAAAATTTAGAGGCAAACATATTATTTAAACACAAACTATGGTTCAAGTGTACAACACACAAATTAGTAACTGCATATCCCCAAATAGTTAACTGAAGTTATATTAATTATATATATATATATATACATTAATTATAAATAATTACTCATTTTACTGATTATGTAACTTTTGAAAAACAAGTTATTGCGCATGTGAAACACAAATTATTTAAGTTTTTTTAGTTTTTTTTCTTTTTTTTTTTTACATATAACTAATGTAGAACAATGAAATGGAAACTTTAAAAAAAAAAAAAGAAACGATAAGTATTTATAATATGGTCTAGAATAATTAATAATATAGCAAACATTTATTATGATTAATATATAATAGGAACTAGATACCAATTTCTAATTGATTTTAGTATCAAATCATACATTAATATCTTTGTAAATTTCAATTTTTTACTTCGAATACGAATTAAAAATCGTTTAACTAATAATACAGATAAGAGTTAAAATTTTATCATAATATAGGTATTGAAAATAATAATTTGGAATTTTTAAGTACACACTTATTTTATTATTTTTGGAAATATAACGAAATATTAAAAATTGTTTGAGGAGAAATAATTATTTTATGGATGAATATCTAAACATATATTCCATTTTTCAATCGTAATAATACAATAATTAAGTAAGTATTAACTAATTGTGTGTCACCAGCTATATAGGTAGATATGACATTTTTTTCTGTATGGACTCAATTCAAAGATATTAAGATGATAAGCTGGACTCAATTCAAATTCAATATCACTGATTTAAAGAGTATCAGTGATACAATAACTTCTGTTTTTGAATAAGAGCTTCCCATTACCTATATATATATAATAAGTTAGTATAGGCAAGGCCTCATTTCACAAAATTGGTAGTCCATACAACTAAAAAGATCGGGAACAGTTGTTATGTTTAATTAGAGTTAACATGATTGCAAGGAATTTGGTAGTGATAGTATGTGTGATGTATGAATAAAAAAGTACTGATATCAACAATTCATGGTTTTTGTATGCAATTGTAGGTACTCAGTTTTTAAGCGTGAACAGTGAACACACTACTTAACTAATAATATTAAATATATAGGTTACTTACTATTATAATACTAACATTTTCTATTGTTATTACAGTATTATGTTTAGGTACCTACTTAGTATCTACTTACTTATTATTGTATACCAAAAAATAGTAATTACTAGCACTTTATCTAATTCATTTTTTTTTTATAGTTACTACAATGTTATTTTTCTACAAATCTAAATATCTAATGAATAATTACCAATGTATGTACCAAATTTTGTTTTGCGTTTTTTTAACTTTTTGGAATTTTTGGTTTAAATAGAATTTTTCAGAATATTTTTACGATATTTCATTTGTAAACTTAAAAACTTAACAGAATTATAATACATCAAATACACGAGTACTATTCTATTAATACAAACAATTATACTATTTAATCTTCAATTTTTATGCTGTGAAGTTCCATTCAACTAGTAAAATTGATACTTAATATAGTTTTGTGATCACGTAACTTGAGTAAACTAAATGTAACATCATCAAACCAATATACAAAATAATGTCAATGGTGTAACTTAAAAATTTAGCTTTGGGAGTGAAATTTTCAACGCCCCTTCCTCATTCAGGCATTATATAGGTTTCTGAGGGGAATGCATTAATTTTACTAAAATTATTTTATAAATTCTTTGAAAATATTATTGCATGTTTTATTAATTAAAAATTATTAAATGATTTTGAATTGTTAAAAACAAAATTAATAGTTTAATAGTTTATTATAAATGAAAAACATTGTATTACTTCGGGCCTCCAGAGCAGCGTTTCCCAAACTCTTGTTTGAGCCGGCCGGGTAATTAATATTTTTGCCCTTTGTGATCCACCAAAATATTTTACATTTATCATTGTGATCATTATGTAAAAAAAAAGGCGAAATAAAACACATTTGAATGTCCACATACAATTTTATAATACAATTGAATCGTTAATTTGTAACAACAATATAATAATTATAATATAGTTAAACTAATTATATTAGTTGACTTCTATTAGTGAAAAGTATGAAGCTGTTTATTTTTAACTTGAAACTCCAAGTTTGCTGGAAAGGACGTTAATTTTTTTCTTAAGTCAGGTTCGATTTCCAACCGATTTTTGTATTTATTCTTCAGGAACACGAGTGTTGAAAATTTCCTGTTTTACACTTACGAGTATAGGTAGTGACAAAAGGCATAAGAAATTTTATTGCTTGTTCTGCTAAAACTGGGTACTGTTGATGAGAAGATAACCAAAAATTTATTAATGGCCGTTTTCCTTAAATGTGTCTGAGTAAATTTATAAATATTTTATAGATTTATAGATGGATTTTTTATAAAGTCTAGTTGATAATCTCAATAATTAATATTTATGTTGTAAATTCCTTGCAAATATTTTTACTAAAAAGTTCAAAATTTAATATGAGAATTTTATTATTTCTGTGACTCAGTGTTATATTTTCATGGTCCAGTAGAGGGTCGTGACCCATTATTTGAAAAACGCTGCTCTAAATTCTAGACGAATGGTCCTGGGTGCGCCTGCACCTTTGATCCGTCTTAGTTACACCACTGTTGATATGTATATCTTTAACTATGCATATTAAATTTGTAAGATTTTGTTTGGATAATGGATACTTTCTTAATATTGAATTATCGTCATAATTACATATTATTAATTTTTAGTGTATTATTTTGAGCGTTATTGCATTTTCTAAGTTCTTTTAAATTATTAAATTCCCATTTTTAGAACTTTCATTAATTATAATACAAAAAAAAAAAACAAGTACCTTGTAAAAACTAGAATTATATATAACTAAATTTTCGTTTAATTAATTATATATTAAACGTAATGTATTACTACCTTATATTTATTAATAATGAATATTTGATATTTATTATTAATTTCATTGTTTCCTCTCTGTTACACTGTCACACTGGGAGGTAAATTTAGACGTACATAGAATTCGCAAACTGCTATTGTTCATCGTTATTCATGACTCATGTCAAGAAGTCACGTACAGCAGTTAAATTGGTTTATACGTAAAAATCTATATACCCAGACACTTCAAATATGGTGTTTGCAGTTTTAAAAATAGATATTTCTATGTAGTTAAAAAACAACTTTTTTGGATTTAAAAAATAATATGCTACGTTATAATATGTATACTATATCTACTTATAATATTGGTCAAATAATATAGTAGTTTAGTAATTATAAATTATAATATTATGTATCTACTAATTGGCATGTATATAATGTTAATATCGTTATAAAGTTTCATTTTTCCTTTCATTATTATACTCATTAATCATCATTATTTAGATTGTAAAAAAAATTTAACTAAAATAAAATATAACGCGATTTGTCATAGTTTAATTTTTATAAATACAAACGTGATATTAAGCAAGCTAAATATTCAATTATATAGGTGGACAAGTGAATACCGCTCTGGTGTTGAGTGGTTCGGTGATATTAAATTGAGTTCAGCTAGCTTATTATCTTAATATCTTTGAATTAAGTCCATATAGATAAAATGTCATAACTCATAACTACCTATATAGCCGGTGACACACAATTAGTTAATACTTACTTAATTATTAAATTATTACGAGTAAACAATGGAGTGTATGTTTAAATATTCACCCATAAAATAATTATATCTTCTCAAACAATTTTTAATATTTCGTTATATTTTCAAAAATAATAAGATAAGTATGTACTTGAAATTTTCAAATTATTATTTTCAATACCTATATTATGATAAAATTTTAACTTTTTGAAATATTTATAAGTACTTGTATGACAAATATTCAATTTTTTTAGTATTTTTTTTTAACTGTCGATAAAAAATTATTCTCTGGATAAAAAGTACCTTTATTTATTATTATTTTCAATATTTTTTAATTAATTGACTATTTATAATTTTTTTTTTATTTATTAAAAGAATATTTATAATCTGTATACATTATTATACAATAAGC